CACGTGACGATCTCAGCCAATCAGGGATGGGATCTACCTGCAACCAATAGGAAACCTGGGGTGAAATTAGTATACGCGCTCCTGGGGTAGTTAACTCTAACCCATAAGTCACGTGAAATGTTGTGCCCATAGTTTTCCGCTTTATCTAATTGGCTAAATTCACGTGCCGGAAAATTTTTGTGGGTGAGCTACAGGGGTTTAATTTTGACGGCGATACTGGGAAAGATAAAAGTGAGAAAGTTTCCTGCTAATAAAAATCCCTGTATATATTTCAGGGCCATACACTAATTTACTGTTTTCTCGGTTTTATACTTTAATTATAAAATATGTCTGAACAGGTGATCTCTGATCATAGCGAGGTAGATAATGATCATGAAAACGAGACTTCTGAAACGGATCAAGATGACAGTATGTCCTTCGTATGCGTATTCCAAGATAATGACTTCATGTAGTCTAAGCATTTTTGAGATCAAAATAATCTTGTATTATTTACAGTAGATATTCTTGGTGAATATGAAGACGATGCAGAGGTACAACCCTTTTATGAACGAGTTTAGCATTTAAGATGCTATTTTGAAGCCATCTTTGGTTGATTCACACTCTTTTTAAGGAAATCGAATTATCACATATGCGCATTAAAGACCTGTCTAGTTTAAACTTTGCTCGGTTTCAATGTTTAAAGGTATATAAGAGTTCTGTATATAATCATTCTCTGATCTATGTAATTATAACAAATATTTATTTCATCGATCCATTTACAGAAATTATGTCTTCGACAAAATCTTATTACCAAGGTTGAATATTTTGAAGCTATGACAAACTTAGAAGATCTTGATCTTTATGATAATCGAATATCACATATTGAAAATTTAGATAAATTAAAAAATTTAGTGTAAGTATTAAAAAGAAAAAGTTCAATATTTATTTTAATCAACAGGATGTTGAATAATTGAATGTATTGTCAGATCGTTAGATTTATCTTACAACAAAATCAAAGTGATTGAAAATTTAGAAGACCTTACTTCTTTAAAAAACATATATTTTGTTCAAAACAAAATAACAAATATTCAAAACTTGGATTCACTCATAAATTTAATCAATTTGGAGTTGGGTGGAAATCGCGTTCGGGTATTTAAAAACTTGTATTCATATTTTTTTTTTCGAGTAATTGAAGTGCCGTACAATAAACTTTTGTTATAGGTCATAGAAAATTTGGATAAGCTCGTTAATTTGGAGCAACTTTGGCTTGGCAAGAATAAAATCACAGTGTTAAAGGTATTTCATTTATAAATATATGCTTTTTTTGTATTCACAAATATTAAATGAATAATCTTTTCCCATCAGAATATGGAAAATTTAAGGAATCTCAAGATTTTAAGTATTCAAAGTAATCGGCTGACCCAAATAAAAGGACTTGAGGGACTTATTAATTTGGAAGAGATTTATTTGAGCCATAATGGCATAGATGAACTTGGAGGATTTGAAAATAATGTAAACATTTATTTCATCCATTTTATTTATTTCAATTTATTGAATAATTAAACTTTGAAGTTTATTGTGGTATGGTACTTTATTTATAGATGAAATTAAGGGTAATTGATATTAGTAATAACGACATAAAGCATATTGAAAATATCGCACACTTAGAAAATTTGGAAGAATTTTGGGTGAATATAATTTGTTGGTTTAAATCAAATGTATCAAATGCCTGTTATTATAATTAATTATTTTATAATTTATAGGCTAGCAATAATCATCTCAGTGATTTTGAAGAACTCTCGTCGCAACTTTCACACCTTAAAAAATTGACGACAGTTTATTTGGAAGGAAATCCTTTGCAAAAAGAACAACCATCTTTATACAGACTCAAAGTGAAAAGTCGCTTACCGCAACTTACTCAAATAGATGCTACGTAAGTTATTAGTTTTTTAATCGTTTTCAATCAATAACTTTAATAGGAAATTGATATTTTCACACACTTTTTTGATAAAGCCACACTCCTGTTAATATATCTTAATATATATTAGAGTTTTTGTTAGGGTTTTAAAGTTAGAATTATTAGGAGGGGTGTGGCATTATCAAAAAAAGGGTGTGGAAACATCGATTCTCTTTTAATATACATATATTTATAGAATAATTCTATTTGTAGATATATCCGGTCAAGTATGTCTTGACAAAATATTAAGCAAAAGTTACAGGATTTTTTTTTTTTTAATTTAATAAATTTTAACGTTAATTCTTAAAGAATTATTAGTAAATTACTGAATGTATAATGAAAAGCAATAAATTATTTTATAATTAGCGGCAGCTTAAATAGTAGAGTTTTGATCCTATTTTTCAGGGACCATTCGGATTAAATTCGGATGATAATTCTAATCTGAGTAATCCGAATTAAATTAGTAATCAGAATTGACCTTGACCCAATGCTCCGTTCCGCCTAAAAAACAAAAGATTTAAGATGCAGATGATACTAGCCCCGTTTTCTCAATTCAAATCTAACAATTTATTATCCGGAACATAGCAGAGAATAGGCAAAAAAAAAATTACAAATGGGTTTCAAGAGGAGTAGGATGAGATAAATATAAGTAAGCAATTCCAAATCACTACTATCATTCAATCGATCAGAATAAAATGTGAAACATGCCTCGTAACCCAATAAATCCTGTTTTCCTAGTTAAATCAGAAGGTCTGTTGAATGACATTTTTCTTATGAACTGGTTTTCTTGATCGTCCAATTTTTTACATAATGATACTCGGATCTTTTGTTATTTAAGTAAGCTATTAAGTTCAAAATTGTTATTTTTGTCGTATATTCGAATTAAATATAGTATAGGTGACACCTACTTTAAATCAATTGATTATTTATTAGGGTGTCACCAGTGAAGAATTCCTAAAAAAAATTTATTGTTTTTTGAGAACATAAATTTATAATCTTATGTTCTCAAAAATCTAATGTGCACTATAATTATATAATATAGAATATATCTAATTGTAATAATATACTATATGCTTATTTGTAACAACTTATTTAGTAAAGCTAATAAAAATTTATATAACCTAATCTCTAACTTTAACTACTATTGGCTAATTACTATAACATATTACAAATATATTTATTTATATTATTTATAATAATTTATTTATTATAATTTTAAAATATAAAATATTGCATTTACTAGTAAATAAATTATAATTAAAAATAATATAAACTTGTTAAAAATTAAATTCTTTATAGAAAGAGACTATAATTTTGATTATTAAAAGATAATTAAGAGTATTAATTCATATTCTATTATAAATTTTTGTTTTAATTAAATTTTGTTGTAAAAAAATTTGCTTAGTAAATATATTTGAAAGAGAAAATATTA